AAATAATTTTGGAGCTTCACCACAACATTAGATTTCATGTACCCATATCTGGTCATGCTCTTTCTGATGGCTGTACATCTTGATGATAGCACGGCAGCATAAAAAAGTTCCATCATAAGGATGTCATGTCAAAAGCATATCCATTTTAATAGTCTAATTGTGCAGAAATTCTTAGGCACTGCATCTGGCACCTTGACTACTTATTTCATACTCCAGCTGCTTGAGGTATGCAATGGTTTAATGGATATGTTGCAGAATTAACTTGTTAACACATGACTTGTGTCATTTTCTAAATGGATATCCTTCTTGATTATGTTACATACTAATGCTTGTAAAATGTGTATGACTTTTGTGGATTCTCATCTGTTATAAAACACTGCTTTTGCTTACCATAACTGGGGTAGACTTGTTGCAGGTCACTGTCTGAATGGTCATGGATTCCCAAGTTGATCCATATTTCTTTGCTTTTCTGTGCCATTAAGTAAAAGGGATATTCCTGTTTTGAAAATTCTAAATTCCTGATCTAAACACATCTTTATAATATGAGTTGGATGAATATTTTCTGCTGGAAAAGACTTACACGTCCTTCCCAAAAGTGATGAATATTTAGTGAAATTACACTACCTACAAAATGTAGTTTCCAATACATTCCATTCCACTGAAACTTTATTTTGGCTGTGTTTTCATGTAACTTGTTGAATTGCATATTCAAAATATTTTTATTAATATGTTAACCTTGTGTAGAATCAAACTTATTAAACCCACATTTGTACAGCTGTAATGCATTTCTTGTAAAGTTAGTTCACCTCCAAGTCATTAAAAACTGTTAAGTTAGTATGCAGTAATAATATCATGCTGTTACAGAAAATTTTTAATCCAATAATTTTTAACATCAAAGCTTAAAACTTGAAATGTGATAGAATTTTACATAAAAATTAATTTTATTCTGCGTGCTATATAGCATCATGAAATTAAAACGCTTATGCTTACTATAAAGCATAAAAGAATAGTTATTGTTTGCCCTTTCCCTGGTTAGTTTGTACTAACCTTCATCATTTGTCCTTTTCCTAATTAGTTTGTATTTTAAAGTTTTTTACAGTAACCCTTGTTACCTAAGTTCTTTTTCACAAGTTCCTGTTGGAGGCTTCACCACCTAACCCTTGTTACATTCATGTTCCCTAATTATAGCTGGAAGTTTTACCTTGTAACCCTTGTTACATATGTCTTCCCTAATTATAATTGGAAGTTTACCTCCTAACCCTTGTCACATACATTTTCCCTATTAGGTTTAATTGAAAGCTTTATTCCTAACCCTGTCACTAATTTTACCTTAATCGGTTTTCAGTAGGAAGATTTATGTTGCTTACAAAATGAAAACAATTGAAGTGCAGTATACACATTTGTTGAAAATTAACTATGTAAAATGATTGATTAAACCATTAAGATTAATTTTAGTCATATGGGATCACACCTAAGAAAAGTACAGGTTAGACTGGTATTACTGTAATAAAAATTAACCTTTTTTTACTTGTTTTCTTAGTTTTTTTGTTTAATTTTTACTTCATATAGATTTTAGAAAACTCACTGTGGGTTGCAGTTTATCATTGAGATTTTTACATTAATTTTGTATTATTCGAAAAGCATTAAATTAATTTTTATATTTAAGTTTTTGTACTGTATTATTTGAATATCAGAAATTTGTTCTTCCCAGACTTTGTATCTTGAATAAAATTAAGAATATGAATTTGAAATTATCTTATTAGTGCTCACAATACTTAAAATCTGTAGAAATAGCAGATCATTTTTATACATTCTTCTGGTTTCATTTAGCTTGTCTAAACAAGGAACGTGAGCATGCATTTATATGCTAACATAGTACTTACTTTGACTTTCAAACAACATTTGACATTTCATAGAAAGAACCATGTGACTTGAAAACTGAAACTACATAAACCAGAATCATCATAAAACAGTGTTGTTGGAAAGAATAGTTATTTTGGAGTAAACTGTGTAAACGTATTAGGAGTTTTAGTTGATGAAATACTGGTGCAGGTGTAGTATCTCTTCAGGTGTTGCTGTTGATGGACAGAATAGATGATACACTTCGGGACCTTGAGAAGAGTGCTGCTCTGAACTCAAATTTTCCTTCTGCCACAGCTCAGAAATGTTACGTCCAGTATCGATGTGGTTTGCGATATAATGATTCTAAACAGAAAGAAGAGGCACTAAAGGGTTTTATAGAAGCTCACGAAAAGTTCCCCAGATGTTCCGAAAGTTATTTTCTTCATGCACAGGTAAGAGATGTGAAATTTCTATGTCAGTTTTTCTCCAAACATATTTCTTTGCAGGCACACCACTAATTATTGCTTTCAAAGTAAATTGAGAATAAATACACACACACACACACACACACACACAC